GACCAATGCATATCAGAGTTGGACTACTTACTACCGAGGAGGTGTGTAGTTAACTTCGATAAAATTACGATTGGGAACAATAAAGGCCAAATTCCAGTAAGTGTTGCTGCATCTGTTGATTTGCATGTCACAGCAATTAAGTCAACTACAATACCCCCTATGTCAGAGAAGATAATTTTGGGTAGAATAAACTAAAATCTCCAAGGAAGCCCGATGCTTGTGGAAGCAGTGGAAGACCCATCCAGGCCAGCGGCTGTGAAGATTGGAAGGTCACTTGTGGCAAGTCGTCAAGTAGTACCTATTACATTAGCCAATTTCTCTAAGTGTGAGCAGACACTTGAGGAAAGAGTATTGTTGGGTGTGTGCCAGGAGGTAGAGCCAGTCAATGTTAAAGCAGGGGAGGGATCTTTATTGGACGGTGATTGCCTGTGTTTATTCTGTGCTCTACAAGGTTTGTGCAGCCGAGGTCATGATCTCCTTTCGAAAAGACGTCTGCATAATTTGCCAAAAGTTCTTTTACCTGAATAGCCTGTGATGATGCCAAATGGACTATGCTCTTCTTATAGAGGTCAGCTAAATGTTCTGGAAGTGTATGTCCTTTCTTTATAGTTGTATTTAAGGAGAATAGTTCCAACAAAGCGACAAGAGATAGAGAAGGTCATGGATGGTCTAATTAAGGAAGGGATAGTCAAGAAATCAGATAGTCCCTGGTCAACTCCCGTCGTGTTAGTCCAGAAGAAGGATGGGACCCAACGTTGCTGTGTGGACTTCAGGGCTCTTAACAATATAACCGAAAAAGACTCATACCCACTGCCAAGAACTGATAATACCTTGATGCCCTAAGTAGAGCCAGGTGGTTTTCAACTCTGTACTTAAAGTCGGGTTTCTATCAAGTGAAAATGGCTGAAGCAGATAAACCTAAGACTGCATTTAGTATCGTCAAGGTCTCTGGCAATATTGTGTGATGCCATTCGGGCTTAGCAATGCTTCAGCAACATTTGAAAGGCTGGTGGAAAGGTTGCTGGAAGGCCTACAATGGAGGATAGCCCTAGTGTACCTGGATGATGTCAATGTATTTGCAACAACTTTTGATGAGGAAATGTCCCAGCTAGTGGAAGTATTCAATCATTTGAAAGCAGCAAACCTCAAACTCCACCCCAAGAAATGTCAGTTGTTACAGAAAGAGGTGCTTTATTTGGGTCACATTGTAAGTGAGCATGGTGTGAGTACTGATCCTGACAAGGTGAAAACAGTGCATGATTCGCCAACACCAGACAATGTGGGAGAGTTAATTAGTTTCTTGGGACTCTGTACTTATTAGCGGAAGTTTGTGAACGACTTTGCAACTATAGCTGCTCCACTACATGATTTGACTAAAAAAGGCCAGAAGTTCGAATGGACAGTTTCTTGCCAGCATGCTTTAAAGACATTGAAATAAAAATTGGCCTCAGCTCCACATTTAAAGCTTCAAAATCTCTCACTGCCGTACATACTGGATGTTAGTAATGTCGGATTTGGAGGAGTGTTGTCTAAGAAAGTGGGCGAAAACGAACATGTGGTGGCCTACTTCAGTAGGGTTTTGAGTAGACCAGAGAGGAACTACTGTGTAACACGGAGGGAACTCCTTGCTATAGTAAAGAGTCTGACCTCTGTGGCACCAGGTTTACCATCAGGACAGACCATGCTGCATTACGCTGGTTAAGATCAATAAAAACCCAGAGAGACAACTGGCACATTGGATCGGAAAGATAGACCAGTATAATTATGATATTGAATACAGAGAAGGAAAATCTCGTGGAAATGGCGACGGACTGAGCCGAAGACCCTGCAAAAATGAGTGCAGACATTGCTGTAAATGAGAGGTTGAACTAACCAGGTGTCATCAATCTGAACTCAAAGGGACTGAAGGAGTCGATAATGGTGAAGTGGAACCAAGTATAGATATTAAAGCAGAGCAGTCGAAAGACCAAGATTTGAAGCCAATAACTGATTTTCTAAAAGCAAGTGTTTTGCGCCCTGTTTTGGAGAAGGTTGCTAGCTTAAGCCCTGTGACAAGGAATTATTGGACACAATGGGACCAGTTGAAGCTTAAAGATAGTATTC